GGGAGAGCCAACAACGTTGATTAAGACCACAAATAATTTTGAATATTGAGTGAATATTGAGTGAATAATTTTGAATTTCAACGTATGACCTCTTAAAAACTCTATTTTAAAAGTTTGTGTTTAGTAAATCAGTTCGCTAATTCGTATCTGCTTTATTAAACTGATTTAATTTGATTTATCTAATAAATGAATTTCCTTATTTAGTTATTCACAATTCTTTTTGTGTCATATAAAGATTCATTGACCATTAAACTATTTCATGGTCAACCAAAATGGATGTGAAATGCGGTGTGCCGGATTATCAGTGTGCCAAAGCCAAATTAATACTGCTAAACAACGAAAATATTATTTTAGTTCGAAAAATTGAAGGCCTGAAATTGCAACGGTGCGGTTGACGTGAGTTAAATGCTAAATTGCTTCTTCTCTGGATGATCTTCTGATGCAAAATTCTGATTCTTTCTGATTGCGAAATTGCAAGATATTTGATTCAATTTCTGTATAATTTAAATAAAATTTAAGAACGAAAACCACACAATTACCATTGTTGCTTCAAAAAATTCTAATAATTCTGATATAAATCATTAGTTATAAACTTTTGTTGACTTCAATCAAACTATAAACTTTAAAGCATTCAGCCGTCTAAAATTTAGACCAAATTTAATTTGAACAAATTTAGTCAAAGTTTCACTCTTCAACATTTTATTTACATATATGTACATATATAGATTTTATGTTTAATGTTATTTATGTTTTAAAAAAACCAAGAAATATTTTACGTAACTGATACTTTTAACTCATATAAAAATTTAACAAAAGCAATTACCCACAAACGTTGTTAGATTTATTGTTACTTCAAAAAATTTTTCTTTTCACAACATTCTTCAATTGCCTAGACCTTTTATAATAATATACAAAAAATGTATATTTGTACATATACGTACATCAAAATAATATAAGACAATAAAAAAAAGGATTTAATAATTTATTTTTGAAATAATAACTTATTACCATCCGTTGTTTTTAATTGTAAGGCACATAAAATAATGCAAAACAAAAAAATTTATTTCTTAAGAATTTTGTTTTAATATTTTTTTTTTTAATTCAAAACAATAAAAGACCCCCTCCTATAAAACAAAACAACTGGATGTAATATGAAATATTTATAACCACTGGAAACTTGTTGAAAGAATATTTATGTGTATGTATGTACAAATTATTGCATACATATCATATATGTATATGAAAAAAGTCATAAATCATAAGAACATCTACAAGAACACTTGTTATTTTATACACAAGTAATGTTATAATAAAAACAACAGTAAAAGAAATCGGAAAAATGTTATCTTTTGCATAAACACAGGAACTAATATATACCTAGTAAAGTGGAGATGGTTTCTTAAGTATGCTGACCCATACCAAATTAGAAATAAAAAAAGTCTTACTATTCAAAATTTAATAAGTCTTCTTGAGTTACAAGTAAAATGTATGATCTATGGAAAGTGGAAAAAGAATTAAAAATATTGATTTGAAAAATTTTTAGCATAATTTAGCCCATACAAAAAACAAGAATTTCAAAAAATTATTTCGCCATTTTTCATAATTGCAATGCTTTGCAATGCAAGCTTTTCCGAAAACCATCCTTTGACACTTTCGTTTTATACACTTCAAGAAAAAGTATAACTTTCATTGCTTATTTCAGCTCAATTGAAACAATAGCTTTTGAAACAGCTTACCGCAATATCCAAGTAGAAATGTCAGTAATTCTCATTTAAAATTATTTGCGTTCCATTTGAGCAATTTAAACGTATACTCTATGTAAAACACTTCCGCACCTACGCCAACTAATACAATACAAAAGAGTACAATTCCAGTATATGGCTTTATTCAAGTATATGGTTTTAATTTTCCAGTAAATAGGAAATAAATGTAAGATGGAGATCCTTAATATTCATATTTCTAAGTTAATATTTTGCTCCATATACTCGTAAAAGGATTTCCATTAATACAAACATTTAATGGGAGATCCAAATAATTGAAATATTTTAATAGACTAATAATCTGCCTAGTTAAAACCCAATGGCTTGCGACACTGGAGACATTATTCCTTTCTGTGGCGTCGTGCAAGAAAACTATATAATAAATTTTTGCATTCATTTGTAATTTGAAATCATTTGAAAATTTTTACTTTATTAAATCATTTTACCTGGTGTCCCGAAGTATCCCTTATATACCCTTAAGTGAAATAAAAACTTCTAGATAGCCTTGATAATTTATTGATTAAGTTTAAAAGTTTTAATGATTTCATTGAAGTCGACCATTGCTTAAATATAAAATTAGTTTTTAACAAAATTTTGCCTTAAACACTTTACATTTCTAAATTACTACGCTTTAAGTTTTTTTACTAATTAGGCAATGTGAAATTTTCAATCAAGTTTATACATAACAAAACAATTAAACAAAATAAGTTTGTAACGCATATACCAATTCGAAATAAGCACATTTCGTGTATGCAAAATATTTTCGAAATTCAAACCATTCTATACAATATCAGTTTTTGCGCCAAATTCTTATTGGAACATATAAATACGATGTGGGGCTAAACGGTTCCTTAAAATTAGGAAATGGTTAATTTTTCCTACTTTACTCCGGTGCTACACATTTTTTATATTTATTTATTTACGTAATTTATTGAGGTTGTATAACAATCAGTATTTAAATTTGTCTAAAATACTTAAATTATAAATACAAATAAGCGATAAAAAGTGGGGCTAGCAAATAACAAATCAAGAGCCAATCAGTCAATAATTTGCATTCATAACATTTTGATAATTTAAATTGTTATATTGTTATTAGGTTATTTTTTGCACTTACCAAAAAGGGTAAAATCACCCTATAAAGAGTTAAAAATTCCCTTTTTTCATCATTTTAGATAAATTTTGTTTAAGAAATTGACTTGAATACTTTATAGTTATTGGAATTAAAAATGGGGAAAAGAAACTTTTTGTTTTCCTAATTTATAAAGAATATACATATATAACAATATATAGGGCTTATATAACTAATTTGCTACAAAAAGTTTTACAAAACAAAGGTTCAAATTTAAGAAAAAACTCTAGACCTTTTGGGTTTTCTTTTCCCCCATATTTTTTATTTTCTTTCCTGCTTTGTTTTTTTTTTTTTTGCATTTCTTATCAAATTAAACCAGTGAATTAAAATTTTATTAGAATAAAGAAGTCACGATTATTTTCGAGGTTAAAACGGAACTTGTGAAAAAAAAACAATGAAAAAAAAAATTTTATCAAAAAGTTTAGTAATTTTTCTTAAGGAAATTTTCATTTTGTTTATGGAAACTTTTTATAGTTGAAAACCCACAAATTAGAATAGAAACACATTCAACCAGCGTAATATATATAAGTATATAAATATGTATATAGTCGATTCCCAGTCAATATAACAATAAAAATTTATTTTATTTTTTTTTTTTAACACTTTTTGCTTAGTTTTCAATATTAACTGTTTCATCTTGCACTCTGAGATATTGAATAGGGATTTTTACACAAAAACGTCTTAGCAAAACTTCTTCAATAGTTCTTTCGTCAAAATATTCTATATGTTCGATCGATCTTTTTTCCAAAAATATATTATTTTGTATTAAATTTATAAATTATAAGTATTTTGTATAAAATTTATTAGTTCAAAATAGAAATGATATTGATTGGAACCTTCAATAATCATAGATATTTGCACTAAAATCACATTTCGTATTCTCACTGTAGCAATTTCATTTTCTCCCAAATTTAAATTTCAATTTACTGTATCTACAAATAAAAATCAATTTAATTTCGTATTCAAAAATAACAATTTTACATTTTAAGTTCATTTTTCTCATAAGGTCATTTTCTACTTCTATATATCGTTACTAAGTTATTTAATTAGATATTTCATGTTAATTCAATTAATTCAAAATTCTGCCTTAAGAATATAAGCACGAACCATTTTCTTTCAACAACTACTTAATCTAGTAAAGTTACAAACCACAAAAATTTTTAAATTTTGTTCTAAAAATTAATATGAACACAAATCATTTTCTTTCAACTACCACTTAATCTAGTAAAGTTACAAACCACAAATGTTCTTAATCTAGTAAAGTTACAAACCACAAATGTTTTATAATTTTGTACTAAAAATTAATTTTTGGTTTTGAAACTTCCTATATTTTTAATAATATTTAACGAAAAAAGTGAACGAGATTTAACAACAATTAAAGACAAACCAACTTTTATTCATTCACAATATATTCAAGTACATTTTTGTTTTGTAAATGATTGCAATCGTTATACCTCTAAAAGGCTTAATATGTATGGCAAAATCGACATTTTATCAAATTCTATAAAGCTGATGAATTTGCTAGTATTTTGAATTATGTATGACAAATCGAAATAGCAGCATTGTACAATATTAACAGTATTTTTAAAGTGAAGTATGTACGTATCACGATAAAATTCTTTAAGCTTTCAACGAATTCACGTATTTGTCAAGTCATATTTCCGTTTTCCGCATTTTTTACGGAATTGGCAAAAATATTGTAACATTTTTTTAATTTTTTTAGTTAATTCGCCATACATAATACATAAGTTATAAATAATTTTTGACAATGACATAAGCATTACTTGCCTTTTCCGCAGTAAAAATATATTTGATATCGAAAATATATTTTATTTTAATATCAGAATTCATTAATATAAATAGTTTTAATATTACAAGAATAGAATTTTAACATTTATAGTTTAGTTTTACAAAAACAGTTGCACTAAAAATAAAAATAAAGTATAATTTTATTCAAAGCTTTTCGTTTTTAGTACAATATTTTTATTTTTTAAAATTGACGTTCGTTTAATTGGTTGGTTTGTCATCTCATGTTGTCATTTTAATGTCAAATGAAACGCCAACGAAGTACTTTTTTCATATTATTTTTTCGTTTAGTTTTTGATGGAAATCGTTCAGCGCATATACCAGATAATTAAATATAAATTGAAATTTCGTTTCGGATAAAAACAACAAAATTAAATATAGAAATTTTTATTTAACTTATCTAATTGCATTAAAATACAAATTAAAAACTGAAAATATTATATAAAAAAAGAAGAAGAATTAGAACAAAATATTTGTGAAAATAAAACCAAAAATCTATTTATAAATTAGATTTTTTTTTTGTAAGTACCTACCAAGTTTTAACTAGTACAAATTTTTTCATAAGTTTAAAAATGAATTATAAGATTTTTCTGTGGTATGATGACGTCGAAATATATATAATATATTTTTTTCTGTTTTAATTAAAGAAAAATGTTGTTAAAACCTGTTTAACTGGTAACGTTTTTTACTTCTTAAAAATTAATTAATAACGCTTTCATTCAAATATGGACATTATTAAATAATCTGGAACGTTGTTAACTTATAAAATGTGTTCCTAAATCTGGAAAGCAAAATAAGAAAAGTAAAAATAAAATGCAAAAAAAAAACACGAACAAAAAATTATGTTTTGGTGTGCTTTAAAACATTCCGCGTTTCATATTCTACTTATTTTGAATAACTATGCAGGCACAATTTACTATATCGGATAAATATGGAAATTGTCAACAAAGAATATCAGAACAAAAGAATTTTGCAAAGCACATATTTAGCTGCTTGTTTCTTTGCTTTATAATTTTTATTTCAACTCACCTGTTGTCCTTTTTATTTTAAATATGTAAATTACAAGGTTAGAATTTAATTTCTGTTGTAAATTCGCTGATAGGAGCGCTACAAAGAAATTCGGTTTTAATAATAGTTTTGCTAAGAAATTGACGTGCATATTAAGAAATTTTATAAATAAATCATATGATTTCATTGATAAATTTAAATAAATCGATATTATGAATGGATACATAATGTAATAATAGATTTAAACGATTTGTTTTAGTAAATAAGAAGGTAGTTTCCTAACAAATTCAACTAGATACGCATACAAGTAGGTAGATATAGATCTCTGAACAATATTATTGCCATTATAAAACTGGTTGCCTAATTTATTACAAAACTATTATCAATATTTTATTAAAGAAACTTTCATAATATTTTATTTGGAACACATTATAAACCTTGAAATAGATACTGCCTAATCTATCAAATTATTGAATTTTAACATTTTGAGCACAAAAAAAAAATAATAAGTAAGTAGGTATATACACATGAATATGTGCCTTAATGACGGTGAGTGAGGTCATCAGCTTTGACATTGGATTTATAAGAACAATAACATAACAAAAAAATTAATAAAAAAATAATGCGAAAAAATACAATTAAATAAAGCTTAGCTAAAAGTATTCGTAATCCTAGTATTAATAAATAAATGATGATTAAAATTTTGTTATTGTTACTTTTCTAATGTTTATAATATTTTACCTTAAAACATAACAACACATGTACTATACACCTATTTAATTATACATACATAAATACATATGTACATTGTTATTCCAATAGAAAATAAAATAGAAACAAATAATCAAAAATCCAATAAGATTTCGTTGAAAACAAATTAATGATTTTAAGAAAAAACTCTTAGTATGAATGGTATAGGTAAACTTAGTAGTAACCTACTTCATAAATGAAATATTGTAAAGCTTGTGAATATTTTTAAATAAATAAAAATAAAGATTGCTGTCCTATTTAAATAGGTAGTAAATTTTTAGTTAAATTATGATTAAAATTTTAAAAATGTTGGCTGTTTAAAAAAAAAACTCGTACCAAAAAAACGTGTAGAAGTTTCAATGTGAACTTGAATGTTTTTAAAATTATTGGATAATCATACTAAAACTTATAACTATTATAATATTATGCCTGGTATTATTACATTTGAAACTTAATTTTTAATAACATTACTTGATATTATATAATTTCATTTTATATAATATAGATATTAAAATTTAAATTGTGGGACAGGTAGGTACCTACCTATCCTACGTACATACCTACAGTCTAATGAAATAAGTGGGTATTAATAATTTTGTAAGTAATTTACATTTAAAAAAGCTTAACAAAAATTAAATTTTTAAATGCTATGCTTTTATAATCACAATAAATCTGTTTTTTTACGCGTAATTTTATATTAACTAACATTTTTATCAACAAACAGCACAATTTATGTACTTAGTAATTGTTTTTGCTTTACATAGCGTTACTTTTTCTTTTTTATATTATAATTTATTATTTTGTATTATATTTTTATATTTAGAAATCCAATGATAAAATATTGTCAGTAAATCTCAGTAATTACAAATAAAACCTACTAGCATTGAAATTTTGAATCGTTCAGTTTGAAACTTTATTAAATTTTAACTTATAAGTCCTTTCATTATTTTCCTAATACCAATGTAGATCATCCATTTATGTCTATTTAATTTTATTATCTACTTTATTCAAATTTAAATATTGAAAGATATCCATACCTACCTAGCTACTTTAAATTTTTTTAGCAACTAAGTTTAATAAATTTCTTTAAAAAAATTTACAATATTTAATCACATAATAAAATATTAAGTAGTTAATTTGTTAGTTTGTCATAAAATATTCAGGCTGTTTATATTGGAGGCTATTTATATTGAAATATATACTTGTACAATAATAATTTAACGTATTACTTATATACTTTAGTATTGATTGTAGTATGTGTATATCTTATTGTGTGCTTGATTATTTATATTTTGTTATAAAAGGTGAATAATGTTGGATAATATTTTGGTACAAAATTATATTAGCTTGTAATTAGTATAAATCGATAAGAAAGAATATGAATTTATAATTTAATATATGTTCATAAGTATGTTGTTGAAGTTAAAATCTAAATATTATTTTAAATATGAATATTTAATTTCCGATATTTATTTCTTTTCGAAAATTGTATTAATAAAAATATCATTCTTTTTTTTAAGTATTAATTTTCTATGTCATATCAATCTTTTGTTTTTTCGCTTTTATTAATAATCATATTTATTTTTTAAATCTTTGTTATTAAAATCACCCAATAAACAATCAAATACCGAAAATATTCTTCTCATTATTAAATCAAATGCCCACTTATTTGGTTATTTAAACGGATTTCTTCAGTCAAACATTATGTTTATTTCCGAAATTTTCACTAATTTCATTATTAATTAATTTGAATAAATATATTCAATTATATAGGTAATTGTTCCCATAATATTGAATTTTTTTTAAATTTCAAAGTTATGGCACAAATTTTTCAGCTCGTTATTTTTCAGTGTATAACAAACTTTTTATCAGCGTTAAGTTTTTTTCAAAAAATATTCTTAATAAAAGTATTATTAAGAATATTTTTTGAATACATATATTAATACAAATAATAAATAATTACAAATTAAAAAATTTAATATCGTTAGAATTTTCAATTTGATATTATTTTTATTTGCAAATCAATTTATTAAACTGCAATTTGTTAAACGGGTAAATTAATTTTTTGATTATATGAAGTTGAAACCTATATACTAACTTGATTAGAATAATTAATAATCTATGTTACTTATTAAAAATAAAAAAAACGATAATACCATATAATTTATAATACAGGTATAACTAAGTTGGATTTTATAATATTTGTATTAAGTATAAGTAATTTGAATATTGTTAAAATAAGAAGCGTTTATTACTTTTATTTTTCATTTATATGCGATATTTTAAAAGAATACTTAGCCTTATTTTAGAAATGTAAATGAAAACTCTCGATTTTTCCATGTGATTATTATTCCAGGCCACGCCACCGCGTGAATTTTAATTTACATATAAATTATTACCAATATATTCGCTTTAACTAAATAAATATAAAAATTGTAAATAATTATTGTAAATATAAAAAATAAAAAAAGACGTGGCAGACTCATAATACTTAAATGTGGATTCATTCTGGAAATTAAAAACCAAATTAATATCATGTAAAATATTCGTTTCATTCACATAATACGTAATATCGGCTCACATTAATAATTGGATGCAACTATAGGACATTTATTGAAATTTCGCCATAATAATAATAAGTCAGTTTTGAAATTGTTAAGTATAATCGAATTTTACAATATACTCAATATACACTTATAATTTCTAATAGTGTACTTTAACAATAGTTCACAAAAATATTCTGTTCTTTTCTTCATATATTATATTATTTGTAATATAAATATTTGTAAAGTGTAAAGCACACTAAAGTTTATCAGTAGGCAAAATAAAATTGAAAATAATTTTATTTCTATGCTTTTATTTATGATTTTGCTTTGTAGACAATGAGGCACAACAAATAAATTTCTTTTGAATTGAATTGTAAAATTTTATTAACTTATATTTTTACAATCTTACACAATTACTTGTATATAAAAGTGTTTTGAATACATGTGAGGTATTTTTTTTATTTTCTATAAAAAAAATTTTCAATTATTCTGCTGCTAGAAAATTTTTAAATAGTCATATTGTTTAATGAAAAGGGTAGTGGAACGCTTTAAGTTTGTTATTGTTGAAAAGGAACAATTTTTCAATTAAAAATAAGTTTGTTTTATGTGCATGAATACCTAATTTAGTTCCTCGTTTGGAAAGTATTCGTAAATTAAGTATTTAAATTGCAAATTAAATAATAATATGAATAATGTAAGAAATAATTAGAGCTGGCGAAACAAGACTTTCAGTAATTTTTATCATTCCCCTTATCGATTGGAAAATAGATTACAATCTTGTCATAGTTTGTTTACTTCTTTTTATTACTCATATTTTTTGCTAATAAAATAACTAGTATGAATGCGATTGTATGCGAGAAATATATTTTATAAGCAAATATTACCTATACATAATATTAATTGCAATTAAAAATTGATAGTTAAGAGATTAATTTTAAAATTATATAAGAATAATTTAATTCCTAATAATTGTACCTATTATAAATTCATAATATAAAATTGTGATATAATTTATAACATTATGTAATAAATTTAATGAAAAATTCGCATCATTTTTTTATTATTAGCAATTAATGTTTGTGTGCTATTAAAACAATAATGAATCACGTATATTGATAGCTAAGTCATTAAAAATCTGATTTTTTATCTGATTAAAAGGTGATTTTTAATTTTTATAAAACAGGATTTTTCGAACTGGTCATCTTTTTGAAATAATC